TTCTGCCATGCAGGAACTCAAAATCAAAGCATCCCCTATGACAGATGGTCATCCAGCCTCTGTTTAAAGACCTCCAAAGAAGGTAGTGAGGCCAAGAGAAGGGCGTCTCATGAGGCTCTAAGGGCCAGGGCAGGCTGAAATGGGGAGATACTATCTGTCAGATACCTGGACTCAAGACGGATAGGGCTTTATAGCACTTGAACACATAAGAACAGCCCGCTGCCCAGCAGACCTGTTATAACAAGGCAGCTTGGACAGTAGTTTGCTTTTAGCATTGAAGATTATCAGATGGGGGATGGGAGTGAAGCCCGTCCTTATCCCATCCGTGACAGCGACTGCGCGAAAGACACATGTCGCACTGATCCTACCATAAACCTGTCAGTGATGTGGAATTGCATTAACGGGTTCTTCCGTTAATGCAAAATGAAGGACAAGGATGAGACAATTCCACTTCACTGATGAGACAGTGACAGGATCGGCGCAGTGTTGTTTGAAAGACTTTCGCCCGATTGCTGTCACTCGCACTTCCCGGGCGGGACAATGACAGGATCACCGCAACATTGTTGGAAAGTCCTTCCCGCGATTGCACAGGAAGGACAGGACAAGGACATTGCATTCCCCCATCTGATAATCTCCATCGGCATACAATCTCTAAGAGAGGAAGGTACCGTTGTAGGGCACTCAGTAGTAGAACACATGTTCCATGCTTAAACCCTTAGCCTCCCCCAGTTGAAAGAACTGGGAAGCGAGTGATGGAAAATACCTGTTTTTGAAAACCTGTAGAGTTGCTGCCAGTCAGAATAGACAAAATAAAAATAGACGGACGATCAGTCCGACTTGGTAGGAGGCAACTTCCTATGTTCTTAAGACCTGCAGATCTCCCAGGAGGTCAGCTTGAGCTGTATGCCACTAGTCCCTTATCTGTGCCAAAACATCGCAGCCCCCTCTGGGCCCAGGTACAAGCTTCACCAGTAGTTCTGCCTCTCCCTCTTCCTCATTGTGATTCCCCATCACACTGAACACCTTGTTCAATCTCTCTCCACCTCTCCAAGGGTGCATCTGCACTGTAGAAACAATGCACTTCAATGCCACTTTAAATGCCATGGCTCCATCCTACAGAATCCTGAGAATTGTAGTTTTTGTAAGGCACCAGCATTCTTTGGTCAAGAAGGCTCAAGATCCTTGTGAAACTACAAATCCTAGAATGCTATTATTGTTTGTTGGATTATGGTTTGTTTAATTATGTGTTTGAATCATTGTTTTAATGCTAAAATTGTTTAATTCTTTATTAAGGGGTGGGGGGGGCTGTGGGAGTTGGATGGTATTTTAATATTGTATGATGTTTTTAAATTGTTGCGAGCCGCCTCAATTGCGTGACAGAGGGGCGGGATATAAATAAAATTTATTATTATTATTATATTATATTAGAAATCCATAGGATGGAGCACCAGCACTTAAAGTGATGTCCAAGAGGAGCTCTGGTGGTGCAACAAACTATAATTCCCAGA